TACATGGCCTGGATCCGACATACCTGTGGGACCGCACTTCCCCACATATTCCCCAAAGAGCACTTTGGTTGGGGTCACAACACCGGCTGGTGACCCCGGGCCCTAAGGAGGCCAAGTTTGTTGCAACAAGGGCCAGGTCCTTTTCAGTGGCGGCTCCTATCTGGTGGAACGAGCTCCTGGAGGAGATCAGGGCCCTGCAGGATATTTTGCAGTTCCGCAGGGCCATTAAGACGGAGCTCTTCCGCCAGGTGTATGAGTAGGAGCTGCCATTGCCACTGCCATTACCATCACCGTTCTCCAGAGAGTGTTACCGCCAGAAGACCATGTGACATCTAAGCGGGGCCCGAGTCTTCCCCTCTGCTATGCAAAATGTGGAGTTTTTTCTTTCCTCTCTCTCTTGCATCCGGATGGAAGTGAATTCTTAAATTGTTTTTATGCATTTTATATATTGTAACTTACATGCACTTTGTGCTTGTGTAAGCCGCCCTGAGCCCGCTTGCGGGAAAGGCGGGGTATAAATGTAATGAAAATAAATAAATAAATAAATAAATAAAATACATTCTAACACAACCATCCAGCTCTATACTAAGGCTCAGGGGCAGACAACGGGAAAGATATCCTAAAAACTAGTCCTGATGGAAGTCATGAGAAGGGTGACATGATCTAGCCTTGATTATCTAGTTTGGCTACTAAGAAAGATAATCAGCATATCTACTGGATTGCCTCTCCTAGTATATCCCCCAAAGAGCACTTCGCTCAGGAGAGAAGAATTTACTGGTGATCCCTGGCCCCAAAAGTATCCAACTGTCCTCAACCAGACCCAGGGTCTTCTCGGTTCCAGCGCCTACTTGGTGGAACTCCCTGCCCAATGGCATCAGGGCCCTGTGGGACTTTATGCAACCCCACATGGCCTATAAGACAGAAATGTTTCACCAAGCTTATGGTTGAGGATAGCAACGGGTTCCATCTAGCCTGGTTCCTCCTTCCTCCTCCCCTCATTGGGAAAGGACATTAAGCAGTATATTTATGTGCTATCTGTAATTTTTTTTGCTGAAAAGTTTAGGTTGTTTTAACTGTTTTTAAATTTGTATATTGGAAATATTGTCCCCTGCCCTGAGCCCTGTTGCACAGGGGAGGGCAAGTTATAAATCAACAAATAAATAAATCTGAAGCCTAAGCTTTCACCACTTCTCTCAAGGAACTCTCTTCACCACTAAATTACAAAGGACTCTGAAAGAGCATTTTATATCCATCTATTTATTCCCATGACCCTCCTTATCTTACACCCAAATTTGCTCCCTGCTAGCTCTTGCCCTCTAGCCTCTCCTACAGCCAAGGCTGCCTCCACCGTCCAACTATCCTTCCTCATACCTAATCCTGTCCTCTGTCCAGTCCCTTCATCCCTCCTTCCTGGATTCCATTTTCCAAGGTTGGATAAGAGACAACTACTTCATTATATATAATCTCTCTCTCTCTCTCTCTCTCTCTCTCTCTCTCTCTCTCTCTCTCTCTCACACACACACACACACACACTCCTTAATATCTTGTGTTTACTCACTCTGACACACACACTCTTCATAAAGGTAAAGGTAAAGGTTCCCTTGCTCGCAAGCCAGTCGAGTCCGACTCTAGGGTTGCGGTGCTCATCTCCATTTCAAAGCCGAAGAGCCAGCGCTGTCCAAAGACGTTTCCGTGGTCATGTGGCCGGCATGACTAAACTCTTCATAAAGGACACATAAAACCACTACATTCTTGGTCAGCAGCTAGCTTTCTTGAAGGGCACTTGAAGACGCAAGCAAAGGAAGGAGGACAAGCATCTCAACCACCAGTCCCTAAAGCAGCTTGCCAGCAAGTAGAAGCCACATCCTTTATATTCCTTTGACCTCTAGGTCAGCAACTGAAGGACTGACTTGTGCTTCTTTGGGTGGCGGCAGCGGCCAGGGCACCATTTGTTGACAGCTATGCTGCACAATCCCCAAACAGGAGCTACATATTCAGACCTCGGCAGCTACTTGTAGTGCAGCAGCTTGGGTGTGAATGCTTAGCTGACTGAAAGTGTGAATAAAATTCTCTGTTGTAGGTCACATTCATGTTAGTGTGGAGCAGTTTTTGATTCAATTCTGAATTACCACATTATTAAAAGGTATTTCCTTATTGGGGGAAAAATTAATGGTAACTTGGATGCTAGTGACCCTGCTCCATCCATACTAAATGCAAGAAAATCTCAGGCAAATCTAAGGGAGATCAAGACTGCAGAAGGGTTCTATTCATACATATATTTTGCATTTTGGTACAGGAAGAATTATATATTTATAGTATGATTAAAGGGACTTTTGTTCTTGTTGCTGTTAGCAACAACATTTTAAGTTGGAAGATCTAAATGGCACCTAAGCCCCAGTCTGAAACCCAGTCTTAATACATGGGAAGAGGTCAAAGATATTTTAAATAAAGTTGTCTGTGTGTACTTTTTTCTCTGTCTGGCCAATCCAAAAACATACCTGTAGACTAGAAAGTGGATGATTAACTTACAGCCATAGGTGCTTCCACAGATTTTTTACATGAGAGTGGTTCTGTGGGAATAATCGCCTTGTTCATGTAATTCTAAGAACACAGAAGGTCAGGGGGTTGGAGCAAATAAATCATTTAAGGAGATTAACAGTGCAATCCTAAACAGAGTTATACCCTTCTAAGCCCATTGACTTCAATGAACTTAGAAGGGTATAACTCTGCCCAAGATTGCACTGTAAAGTTCTGAAATACACATCCTTATGGAAAGAAGTTAAACTATTCAGATGTTCACTGAAAATTGAACAGTAAACCATTTGCTTAGGAGTGGGTGCCAAGAATTCTAAAGTCACGAGCTGGGGATTTATTTATTTACTAGGAATAAGGCACGTTGTGGAAATAAATACAACGAGCTCTAGAAAGAGGCTCTGGGAGAGTGCCCCAGCCTTGGTCACTCAGCGTCAATTTGCTGTGGTGACGTCAGCAGGCTATAATGACACAGAGTCCACCATTTTCTCCAGGGGAACTGATCTCTGCCATCTGAAGAGCAGTTGTAATTCTGTGTGATCTCCATCCCTCCCCTGGAGATTGGCAGCAATTGTTCCCCATGAGGGAATGGCTGGTGTGGTGGAGTCTATGGCATTGTACCTGTCTGAGGTCCCACCCCTCCTCAAACCTCACCCTCTCCAGGATCCACCCCTCAAATCTCCAGGAATTTCCCAACCTGGAGTTGGCAACCCTATCTCCCTCCCAGCCAACCGTCAACCTACTGCCCCCTGGCTTCAGCTTTCCATCTCCCCCCCCCTAGAGAGAGCAGTCGTAATTCTGAGTGCTCTCCAGCCCCCACCTGGAGATTGGCAACAATGGTTCCCCATGAGGGAATGGCTGGTTTGGAGGGTGATGTCTATGGCATTGTACCTATCTAAGGTCCCACCCCTCCTTAAACCTCACCCTCTCCAGGCTCTAGCCCTCAAATCTCCAGGAATTTCCCACCTGGAGTTGGCAACCCTATCAGGACTGGCCCCAATGAGTTTTCTCCTAAAGGCCAAAATAGGTGTAGAAAGGGCCTTTTACTGACAGAACCTGGTTGCCTGGCAACAGGCACAAAAAGAGAAAGTACAGTTGCCAGCTCTGATTAGGGAAATACCTGGAGATTTGGGGGGTGGATCCTATGGAAGGCAGCATTGGGTGTGTGTGGAAGGACTCAGCAGGGGATAATGTCATAGGGTCTACCCTCCAAAGCAGCCATTTTCTCCAGGGGAACTGATCTCTGTCATCTGGAGATCAATTGTAACAGCAGGAGATCTCCAGGTCCCACCTGGAGACTGGCAACCCATTAGGAAAGTCAGCCACACAGCAGGGAGTTGAAGAGAATGGTTTGATAGTCGCTGGCCCACCTCATTAGCCAGCCAGCCATGGTGGAGCCAAAAAGGAGAGAGCCGTTTTAAGTTTATTCTGAGAGGAAAGTGGCGAAGCTGGCAGTGGGTGGGGGAGGGGGTTATGCTGAAAGTGCTTTGGTTTTTTACTGACAAACGTTGGTTGCCTACCAACAGGCACTGAGGGGACAGTTAGTCACAGTTAGTCCCACACAGGAGCCAAGAGGTGTCTTCCTCAGGAGAGAGTCTGGCTTTCCAGGAGCTGCAGCCAAGGGTGTAGACTTTCCAATTTCCCGGGGGGGGCTGGGGCTGGGCCAGAGGCATTGCTTTGCTAGGAGCAAGGGTGGCTCCCGGGGGAGGCTGAGCAGCTTCCTGAAAATTTCGGCGGGGGCTGAAGGCCCGCCGCCCCCACGAAGATTACGCCTATGGCTGCAGCTCGTTTCCTCTAAGCCAGACCCTCCCTGGTGCTGCCGCTGCAGCTGAAGGAAAGCGGGGGAGCCTTTGAAAGGCACTGGGCAGCCTTCTCTGTGGTACATCCCGTTGAGCTATCGCCCTGACAAAGCGCCGGCCTTGTGGCCAAGGGAGGGGTTGCGAGGGGCCGCGAAGGTGAGTGCTTCCCCTACTTGCTGCCACTCACTAGGTGTGCCTCCTTCTCCCCTGTGGAGGGGTTGCTGCTCCAGCAGCGGAGCGTCCATCCCCTTTGCCGGCTCCCTCCAGACTGAGAGCAAGACGCTGGCTGCCGGCTCTGTGGGCGGGGCCAAGCCAACGCAGCGAAGCAATGCAGCCAGGGGATTGGAAGTCCACGAGGCTGGCAGCCTAGCGGGCCAAAGGCTGTGGGACCGTGTCCAGGAGTCACACCAAAACAGCTTTATTATATAGGAGAGATTTTGGTCTTTCACATTACTTTGTTTAATACAGGGAACACAGAACCAAGTTTTTGAAAGTTTCCCTGCCACACTCCTGTCATGTTAATGCTGAATTAATGAAAAACAAACAATAAATCATAGGCACTTACGGTAGCAGAAAGGGAGCTGGAGGCTGAGGTATGTAAAGTTGTGTTCCAGGACAAGAAGTTGCCAGGTTCAGCTGCTACTACAAGGAACCGGTGAATGGGTCAGAGTGTGCCAGGGTTGGGAAGAGTCTCAGTGGCCAGACCACTCACAATGAAAAGGAGTGCTAAATGATAAGAGATCAGGGAATATGACGCACACTGTCATCAGCTCTTCGTGCAAGTTGCTGTAGCAGATCATGTGAAAAACTGTTGGCCTTGATACAGCCCTTGAGCTCTACTTGTTCTCTTTACTGGCAGATTTCATAAAACCAGGAAGCCTCCTCAACAGGCAGTGGACAATTGCCAGCTGGGGTTTTTTGGAGATGTTAAGGACATTAGGATGCTTTTGAGAGGCTTGTGCTTTTATTGTTTAGAAACAGGAGGTATTCACCTTCAATCATACTAAAACACATTCTTCCAGCAAGCTCTTGTTGATGTTCAGCACAGGGCAAAAAAAAATCCACTGATATCCCTTTGATTTCCCCCCCCTTTTATTTAGTACAGAGTTAATTATAAACAGGACGGGTTAGGGTAGGAGACAATGAACAAGGATGTCCTTCCCATGCAGCTCAATGCCTCAGCAGCAGCCATCATAATGATGAATGTGCCGTTTTCTTTTGCTCTGCTAGAAACAGTGAGGGATCTGTGCAAATGCTGGCACACCAGTAGTGCAGACCTCAGAACACACACAAGCTGGCACCAAGTATTTGCCTCCCTCAAGCTGGCTGAATGGTATATTGCAATATGCTTTGTTTACAGAATTTCTGGTTAATGATGCTAATGAGCAATGCTTTCCTGAAGAAGCATCTGCATTTAGCCCATCAGAAGAGGCCAGTGTTTGTCAGAGTGGTTGAACTCAGAGGAGGAACATGACAGACATTAATTTTGCAAAAGTTGTTGCAAACAGGGTGCCCCTGGAGGCTGGGTTCTGCCTTCAATCAGCTGCCACTGTGAAGTTCGGACTATGGAGTTCCACAGCTTCTTCTAAATTTAAACAAGGTATTGGGGGAAGTTTGTAAATTTTCATATTTGGAAGAGGAGCATTCATTCTTTTCCCCTTTGTTCTGTTCTCTACGGGAATAAGCTCCAATTGTTTGAATAATCTCTAGCTGTAGACACTCCATCCCTGAGGCTTAGTGCAGCTGCTTCAAGTACTGTTGTGTTTGGCTCCTGTAATGAACAGCATAGGGTCGACAAAGCAGTTTATAGCTTACAGTTCAAACCACTGGGAAAAAACAAAGATCCAAAGACATTTCTTGCTATTCCTTCTGCTTTGTCAAGCAAGTCACAAGGGGAAAAACAGATGATCCTTACAAAGACTCAGCATTCTTGCAGCCTCCAATCTGTATCATACAGAGTGATCTGAGTTAGTTCCATCAGTAGGGATGTGGTACTGAAGTGCTATCAGGTACCTCTCACATTGCTTTACTGCTGCTCTGGAATGCTAGCAAACAGATTACTCATCCAGAACGGGAGGAGGAGTGAGGTGAAGCTGGAAAGTCTCATTCTGGAAGACACTGTTCAGAGCAGGATCACCCTGGGAGACCTGGAGGAGTCCGTGTTTTTCGCCACCACGATCTCGAGAGAGTTCAGTCAGAAGAGCCAACTACAAAATAAAAGACACTATTTGGTACTTCATCGCTAATGTAGTTCACGTTGGAACCTATAGATGAGCAAGATGATATAATCACTTCAAGCGTTAAACTGTTGTAAGGGGCACTCAACAATCTATTTGCTTAAAGGGAATATGATGAATAGCACAAGTAGCTAAGTCAAGGCTATAGCCACCACTGGCTGCAACCTAATACCTGGAAGCAACCTGATTATTTCACAAGGGTTACAAAATTTCCAAATTATGGGACAGATCCATTCTGCCAACAATAGCACTTTCCCTGTAGTGTAAGGAAAGCACTGCCATTAGCAGGACAAATTCTCAGTGACCAAATGCTAAAGAAAAATGTGGGTTACAAAATTTCCAAATTATGGGACAGATCCATTCTGCCAACAATAGCACTTTCCCTGTAGTGTAAGGAAAGCACTGCCATTAGGACAAATTCTCAGTGACCAAATGCTGAAGAAAAATGTGGGTGAAAGGCTCTTAGGTGGCACGTTGACTCTGCCCACCTCCTTTTACTGAATAATACACATCTAAGGATCATTATCTTGGCAACATGAAAACAAATTTTCAAGAATTATAATGGACATGGGTACTTCCACAGATGTGTGAAAGGACAGCCTCTGAAGAGAAGTCTCTTCTTCCCTATGTAAATACAGTGACAGCTGTCATACTTGTGGTATTTTAAACACTGTTGACATGATGAATACAAACAAAGCTTGCTCCCAGCTTTACTCTGTTAAACACAAGACTTAAAATTATGTTACCCTCGATGTCCCTCGATATAGACGACAGAGCTGGTCAAAAGCTTGTGCTTGCTGGGGATCCAACAGGGACTCTGAACTAGTCTGAGGAACAAAATGTCAGTGTTACCAACACAAAGAATGCACATCAGCTAAGGTTTTTATACCCCAAAGTTTTATTAAAAGCTCCTGAAGAAGTAGTCAAAATTAATAGGACTAGAAAAATACATTTAGTGGAAAGAAGCTACAGATATGCTGATATTGTGGGGGAGATGTAATGCCTCCCGTATCTGAAGCACTACTATGACAAGAATTTTCCACAAAGCCAGGTAATATGGGTGACTACCAAGCTTCCAGTCTGAGGAAGAAATGGAGGGTCATAAGCAGGGGGGGGGGGGGGGGGGGGGGGGTTGACAAGGGTAAACCCCCCCCCCATGAATATGCTCAGAGAGAGAGAGAGGGGTGGCCTCACCAGGTCTTTCTGCTTCCACAGCTGGCTTCTCAAACTTTGAGAAGCTGGCTGCAGAAACAGGAAGACTCAGCGAGGCCACCCCTCTCCCTCCCTTCCTGCTTGACCGTGGTTGTCACGTGGCCTTACCAGGTCGTCAGGCTGTGTGGCAGTTGTCCCTCTCCCTTCCCTCCAATGGGAGCCTGAGCCATGGGGGGACGAACTCAAGTCCCTCTGTGGCCCAGGCTGCCATTGGAGTGAGTGAGCTGCTGTGCTGATAGAGCTGCCTTCCCCAATTTGCCCCCCAACCCAAAAATTCTGGCTATGGGGCTGCTCATAAGCCATTTTGCCATGTCACACCCAGATGTTACCTAATACCATCTCTCAACAAGACTTTGGATATAACACACTCATATACATTATGTGTTTTTTTATTTATTTAAAATATCAAGGCAGCTGGCAATATTTAAAATAATTTCACATAAAAGTTATTATAAAACAACTAAAATAATAAACAGGTACCTAGGGCTGTAGAGCCCACTGTGGCTCAGTATGGAACCAAATATGCCTCTTTTCTAGAAAATGAAATCTTTCAGTAAAACTTTTGAATGTGCAGGTGGGATACTAGAATAACAGGGAGTGGCCAAGAAAAGATTTTTATGGGACTAAAGGGCTAATTAGAGATGGTTTCCATAAATAGGAAATGATAGAGATGAACAAGAGATGGTTTCCATAAAAAGGAAATGACAGAGTTGCCAGTAATCCAAGAGCGACCACTTATGACAGTACCAAAAACATTGCTCAGGGTGCTCCTGTATATATTATTAGACCTTGTGTGCGCCACTTCCTAATCACAAAATCCAGTGTTTGGGCTGCAGAAACTTTATGGATTATTAACCAACATGTCAATTATCAGTAATGTTAGTTTGTATGTTTTCAGTTGTGCATATGGCCTTTTTATATTGGTTCTTTGTTGATCTCTTGAATTTTAAAGTAGCTTGGCTCTTTAAGTATAAAAGGCTGTTGACCTCTGCACTGGAGTATAAAAGACACACACTTTTTCCATTCTGGTCTGAAGGCCTTACACAAAAGAAATCTTAAGTCTGGTAAGGTGTGTAGGAATAGCATTTATCACATGTCCTGGGGAAGGGAATGCCACAATTTACATTTTTCACTTTTCATCTATTCGCTATCTTTCTGTGAGAAAAGTCAATATTACTCCCATTCAGACATAGGGAGTGGTCTAAGGAAATCCAATTTGCCCAGCACAGCTCATTGAGCCTACAGTTTGGGTAAAGTTTAATCCAGACCCATTTTAACACCCTCTCTATTGAGAGGAGATGAATGGAGCGTAATGACAGGATCTCAGTTATTTACTCTTAGCATTCCACAATTAAGGAGGATACATTTACACATCCAAACAAATGTTGACCATATCAACTTAGCTTATTATTCGTTGACGCATAAAGGTTTCAAATATAAATATCGAGCATTTGCAGACGATGTAATGTTTATTGTGGAAAACCCAAAAGAAGAATTACCATTACTATTGCAAAAGATACAAGACTTTGGAGAACTGGCCGGATTTTATGTGAATAAGAATAAAACAAAACTTATTTGTAAGAATATGACCAAACAGAATCAAGTGGAGCTACAAGACCTGGTACAATGTGAAGTAGTTAAGAAAACGAAATACTTAGGAACTGAGTTAACGGCAAGAAACATAGACTTATATAAAAATAACTATGAGAAATTATGGGCTAAGTTAACTCAAGACTTTAAGAAATGGGATACCATGAATCTATCTTTGATGGGAAGAATCTCAGTTATTAAAATGAATGTCCTACCACGTCTGATGTTCCTGTTCCAAACAATACCAATATTAAACAAAACAGATTTGCTGATGAAATGGCAACAAGAGTTATCAAAGTTTGTCTGGGCAGGCAAAAAACCGAGGATCAAAATGAAAATACTTTGTGACGCGAAAGAAAGAGGAGGACTGCAGCTACCAAATCTTAGACTATATTATGAAGCGGTCTGTCTAACCTGGATGGAACAATGGGTGAAGCTTGAGAATGATAAGCTATTGGGGTTGGAGGGGCATGACTGTAGGTTTGGTTGGCATGCATATTTATGGTATGATAAGATAAAAATGGATAGCTTTTTTAAACTTCACTTGGTAAGAAAAGCATTGTTTGTGGTATGGACAAGATATAAAAAATATTTTAGGGATGTAAGACCATTGTGGATTGTACCAGTAGAAGTATTAACATCGTACTCAAGACAGCGAGACAAGGATTGGTTGCCATACAGAGACTTAATTAAAAAAGAGGGAACAGAATGGGTAATGAAAAAGCAGAATGAAATTCAGTATGAACATGAATGGTTGAAATATATGCAGATTTATGATCTCTTCAGATCGGATAAAAAAAATTATGGTTTTAGAGAAGAAAAAAATGAAATGGAAAATATTTGGGAAAGTGGAGAGGGGAAAAAAAATCTCTAAAATGTATAAACTGTTGTTGAAATGGTATACTGAAGATGAAATTGTTAAAGAGCAAATGTTAAAGTGGGCAATAAATATGAATAGGGAAGTGACTATTGAAACTTGGGAATATTTGTGGAAAAACTCTATTAAGATATCGACTTGTACCAATGTCAGAGAGAACTGCTTTAAAATGATGTACAGGTGGTACATGACTCCGAAGAAAATTGCAAATATGAATCAGAATATGTCAAACAAATGTTGGAAATGTAAGAGTCATGAGGGCTCATTTTACCATATGTGGTGGACTTGTGAAAAAGCTGCAGACTTTTGGACAAAAGTCCACAATGAAATGCAAAAAATATTGAAATGCTCTTTTAAAAAAGCACCCGAAATTCTGCTTTTGGGTCTTAAAATAGAAGAAGTGAACACGACTAAAAAGACTTTACTTTGGTACTTAATAACAACAGCGAGAATGTTGTATGCACAATTTTGGAAAACAGAGAAAGTACCAGAGATTGAAGATTGGAAACAAAAAGTTCTGTTCATGGCTGAAATGGACAAAATCACAAAAAAGTTGAACGGCAAAGAAGACAACGTATTTTTTGAAGAATGGAATGACTTTAAAATTTATCTGGAAAAGAACTGGGATGTGAAACAAAATTTAATATGTTTAGATCAATATTAGGCTAAATGATGTTATCTTAAAACTGTAATGATAAGAAAAATGATATAATTGATGATATATAATAATGTGGAGGGTAAGGGGGAAGCATTGCGGGAAGCCATAGGAGGGAGGGGAGGAAATGCATATAGGTGAATAATGGAAAATTGGAAATGGTTAACTGTAAAACTCTTATGGAAAATAATAAAAATTTGTTTACTAAAAAAAAACTTAGCTTATTATTCGTGTTTGAACATAAGAACATAAGAACATAAGAGATGCCAATGTTGGATCAGGCCAAAGGCCCATCCAGTCCAACACTCTGTATCCCACAGTGGCCAGAAATACCAGTGCCATCAGGAGGTCCACCAGTGGGGCCAGGACATTAGAAGCCCTCCCACTGTTGACCCCCCCCAAGCACCAAGATGACAGAGCATCACTTGCCCCAGAGTCCCTATCTATACCTTGTGGCTAATAGCCACTGATGGACCTCTGCTCCATATGCTTATCTAATTCCCTTTTGAAGCCGTCCATGCTTGTAGCTGCCACCACTTCCTGTTTGGACTTTGTATCTGTTAAAACATCTTCATTATGTTGTATGCTAATTTGCTGTTCACCATCTGCCTATATGTATGGACTGTTAACTTCCATTTCAATGTATTTGAGGAAGTGTGCTTTCACACGAACGCTCATACCCTGAATAAAACTTTGTTGGTTTTAAAGGTGCCACTGGACTCAGCCTTTGTTCTATTGCTTCAGATCAACACAGCTGCCCACCTGGATCCTCCCTCTCTCTTAGATTACAATGGTCTGTTCTGAAGCTTGTGTTATATTGCTCAACATCCTTCAGGGAAGATAACCCTGTGTCAAGAACTCATCAAGGTTCTAGACACAGCTTCACCATAGCCCCCCCACCACCACCAGGGGAGACCTGGCATCTCTGCCATAGACAACAAGAACTGTACTCTAGATTCTGGCTAGAGGGCTTCTCTTCTCACATTTCATTCCATCATCCATTTCTCACATTTTTCATTATAAAGATTTACAGTAAAATAATATTGCTGAAGGGAGGGAGAGAGAGCGCATGTGCATGTCTGCATATTGCAATTCACTCCTGAAATAGGCAAGTTTTCAAATTACTGAACTGAAGATAATGGCTACAGATCTACTGAGGCTCTGTGACTAGTGCCCTTTCTTCACAGGCCTGCCACAGACACACAGGGAAATGGAAAAAAAACAAGGGCACAATGGTAATTTGTTCGTATCCAAAGACCGGGGGGGGCACGGGGGGGGAGAATACGATAACTGTTCTCCTCTGCTGTTTCTTCACTTGTATGTAACTATCAATCAGATCGTTCTTGGGGCTGATGACCTGATATATTGCAGGCAATTTTTCCTGTTGTCATGGAAACAAGTGCTGCAGGGCACTTTCCCCTTTAACTAAAGGAAAGCTTTTTATTCCATGCTGTAGGGAATCTTTTAGCAAAACTGATGTTTGTGCCACTGTA